GGCGCTATTTTTCTGGTTGAGTATTCCTCGCTACAAAAAACTTAATTACAACTATCATATTTTTTCTAGTTACTAACATGTTCTCCATGTTCAAAAAATCAAAAATTGCGAAAATCGGATGTCTAGAACGAATTGTTGAGCTGAGTGTGACGTGTAGCACTTAGCAATGCGCCACTGCTTACATATGTACTAGAAGTATATAGTACTTCTAGTACATAGGATAGGACTTCACCTACGACTTCACCAGCAGCATAAAGAAGGTTGACCAGATATGTCAATTATAAGCATATTCCGCATAGGCTTCTCTTGCATTCGTATCACCATGCTGCATATATTTCTAGTATTTATCTGGTATATTTCTGGACCCATATATTCAACGTCCATCTACCCCCGTACATGAATCATTATTATACATGCATAGAAATTTAGGAAATATATTATCCGTTCAACCACAACCATCGATAATTCCCGATATCATTAATTACAATTTATATTCACATACCCGGCTTGTATCCGGATATGTAGAATATAAAGTATCCGCAGATACTTTTAGTTATAGACTCAATATGTAAATACTTAGGTTGGAATAGGTTGATTGATAATGGACACAAGACTAAAGTATAAATCTACAACAGGATAAACTACTCGATTTCTGATAATTTACAATGAACTTATTTACCAACAAATTTACTTGGTAATGCTTTGTTATTGCTTTTTCTCCCCGATAATAATAATGCTTATAAATATATTAAGCCGTAAGGGGAATAAAAGAATGCGATAGAAAAGAAATGTCTTAAAGTATGTATTTGAGTATTTATTTATCTCCCTATCCATCCATCCATATTATGCAACTTCTCAATTTTTCTTCAACTTCTTGCGCAAAATTCAGTCAGCAATTCTAAGTAATATTTACAATTTCGGCAACTAAATATGTTGCAAAATGAAATTTTTAGGAGTAGAATTTCCAAAATTTCCATGGATTTGGGATCAGTATTTTAGCTGTTGTACACGATACATAAATATTCCAATGATATTGGAAACGCATTTTCAATTTATTAGTCTATCTTAAATATGCAATTCTTAGTAATGGCTGTATGATTAACTGAGACTGCTAATCTGCTTATCGCCTACATCAATAACAATGATACTGTCTGTGTCAAACAAAAATTTTGTGTTACAAGTGCAGTACCCCGGTCGATGAAATTGCTCCCAATCCTGATTGTCATAGGTTGCAGAGATAGCAGTATTTTCCTGTCACATTTTTTAGAGCCGCCCTCTTTAAACCATTGTTGCGTCCTTTGCTCCGATTTGATGGCAAGTTGTGCAGCAAACGTTTCAAATACCATACAGGCAACGACACAGACGCTTATGGCGATAGTATACGTGACAATTCCATCGATTGGCTGTGTCCTGTAAAATTTTATTAGGACGAAGGTATAGCAAATTTGAACCATAGGGGTAGAAATAAGCACGGCTGGAACAATTCGCTTAGATCCGAAGAGGTTTAATTGCTTCTCGAGAAGCTGGAGACATCGATAAAGTCGAATTCGTACAGTTAGTCCAATCCGGTTATTGCCAGCAGAATATCTATGTCATAGGGTAGTAAAATACGAATGGATAATACTAAATTTAATTAATGGAGGTTTTATAGGTACTAAAATATAATCAAGTTATTATTTGCTCATGCTATGCCATCTCCTAAACAGCAAGGGATAAGGTTTTAGCATGTTTAATAGGTTAAGCAAACTTGAATATTAAAGAAGCATATAAGCACTCCAATATTTGTTTCATAAAACTTATTATGTTTATACGACCTGAAACTCTCAACTTTCTATCTCAGTTCAGAATTTTTATGTCGAAATATTTAAAAACAACCAGTGAACGACACAAAGTCGGAAATCTATAAAAAATATATTTAAGAAAACAAAATTATTTACGTAAGCTTGTTTCTACTAATTGTGCAAATTAAAATGATATGACGGCTTGCTTTATGAAACATTTGCATGAATAATCGGTATGGACATATCAATATGCAGTAACTATTAGATAATTATTTACTCCTTGATGTGGAAGAATCAATACAAAAAGTTAAAAAAAATTGCCAGACCTCCCAATAACATCGAGACAATCCAAAATGCAGCCAGTCGCTACAAGAATCACGTCAAAGAGGAGGAACATCGCTTTCGACATCATGATAGCAACGTGCAACCCGTCGAAAACAATGACCCCGGCTTTAATCCCTGTTAGGATCATACCTCCACCAAAAATAACGACATGCTTCCCACAAGTGGAACAATATCCGATCGCATAGCCGAGGAAGATCGGATTACAAATATTTTTTAATAACCGCCTCACCCTCAGTATTGCGATTGTGGGGCATAGTCCATTCGCAAACAGAAGTACGCGCCTGAGCAAGATATTGCGCCGAGTCCTGTAAAATATTTTTAGAAATTACTAAAACTAAAATATTTTCGAACAACCTAAGCCTATTGATGCATACCTCACTTTATCCCGGAATCGTCCCTGAAACGTGTGCTGGAGCCAGTTTTCAAATGCAGAAAGTAGGTTAAGTAAATTTCCCCCAGAATTGGCATGCTGTACCCCCATCCCCAAAAGATAGAGGACCACACTGGATAGCCCAAGTTGGATGCTGTACAAGAGGAAAATGTTACATCCAGCTTGTCCACGTGTTAAGGATTGGATGAGGCCAACGTAGCAAATTAAGAATAGATATAGCATTTGCACTATCTCGATAATTTTGATAAGCAGTACTTTGTTCCATTTCTGAATAAATGCGACCCTTCTAGACTTTCCGTCCCATATTAGGGGGAAGCAGTGGAGGCCAGCCATATAATTCAGGTCCCATTTGATACAAGGTATGTGATCATATAACATTTTTTCTGATTGGTGTTTGCAGAGGGTTTGGCCTTAGAGAAAAGGATATTATAGACTGACGGATTAGAGTTTGCGTTAGTTAGATTTATTGCAATGGGTAGGGTATTTTGTACTTGTTTAGGTATAAACTATTTAATACAATTTTGAGTCCAATAACGATTCATGTGTGTCTCTAAATATTACTTGGTTTAATTAATTATCAGCTTTGTCCACGGCATGATGGGATATTGTTATTGGATTTTATTAACTCAATAGGTCGATATGTTAGTAAGTAATGGACAATCCATTATGGATTAAAGATTTACAGGGTAATCGTGTTGTAAAATATTCACAATTGTGTACACTTTGTTTGACTGTATGTTAAAACGGGTTGCGGACTTTTCCCGGCGCTCATTTACCGGCAATCAATTCCCGGCCCTCTTTCCCGGTATCATCAACTCCCGGCATTCTCAACTCCCGGCTTCTAAACTCCCGGTATCCTCTACACCCGGCATTCTCCACGCCCGGCATTTAATTATATGATTATCTATATTATAGGGTTTCGACTATGCTTAGTCCTTGGAATTGAATACCAAGCCGATCGATACCAAGAAGATCGATCGACCTTCATGACGACGTTGGGCCCCTTTTCAAGGCCCTCAATGTGAAATCCTGGGCCCCTCAATTAGATAACAAACTAATTTAAATTTTTGGTTGTCTCGTAACAAAATCTATGTCCAAAGTTGAACTTCGTTTAGCCTGACTCAGGAGTCATGTCATTCAACGAATTTTAACTGACTGAACAATTGTTCATATTCCTACAATAATGAGCAAAATTGAACTGCAACAAGTTATAAACATAAATTATAAAACCTTCAGTGTGCAGTGTTGATTTAGCCCGACTCAGGCGTATGATATATTATGAGGTCGTCTAAAACCCGTGGGGGTTGTATATTTGGGTCGTTCCAAACATTTACGCATTTAAATTTCATATTTGGTATATAGATGCCATTTCTGCCAACTATACCAAATTTCAACTAAATATGACAACTTTTGATAATCAGTGTGGGTCACCCCATTGGGTCTCACCGGTTGAAACAAATTCAAATATAGCTTCACCATAGTTGCATAGGCGCTACTAGCCAGCTTGAAACCAAATTTCAGCTCATTAGGAAAATTTTTAAAAAAATCGGTATGGACGATCCCATAGGGTGCCTTTGGTTGACCATTTTCCCAATTCGACCTCATAACCCTTTATTACACGCTATTAGTGACCTACATAAAAAATTTCAGCTCTATAGGACAATTTCTAAAAATCGGTATGGGTCACCCCTTAGGGTGCATCTAGTTGAACAATTTGGAAATTTTACTTCATAATCTTTTATTAGAAGCCATTAATCACCTATGTACCAAATTTCAGCTTTCTACGACTATTTTGAAATTTCGGTTTATAAGACCCCCACCACTCATATGGCCCCCACTGACCAACCAGTGGACCGATTTGGCTGATCTTCGAACTTGATTCCTAGCTTTGTCCAATATGCATATGGTGAAAATATGAAGTCGATCGGTTCAGCCGTTTTGGCCCTATCGTGCAGACAGACAGACAGACACGACGGTTACATAAGCCCTGAGCCGGGCTAAAAATTCTCCATAATTTTGCTATCTATTTTTTTCCAAAATATTTTGAATATGTCAGTAGGCATTTCCACATAAACCATTACATATAGACCATTACTCCATACCAAATTTCATCACGTGTGCATGATTTTAAAAATCGGTGTGGGTGACCCCATAGGGTCCCTCCAAATAAAAATCTTTGCTGAATTATTTTTCTGATGACTTTTTTAACGTTGTTAAGGAATTGTTTTACCAGTCTTGAAGCATACTTGCTCCTTGATTGGCTAACTCATGATGTAAATAACCAACCAGAATGCTGGAATGTCACGGAAAATTTCAACGGGACGGACTTTTGTAAATTATAAAGGAGATATTTTTCAAAATATCTCTACGATATCTGGTTTTCCAGAATTTCCTAGCCAATTTCCTAACATATTGTGTAAAACGCTTAGGTGTTTATTTTAAGTATGGTCGAAACCCTATAATATAGATAATCATATAATTAAATGCCGGGAGCGGAGAATGCCGGGTGTAGAGGATACCGGGAGTTTAGAAGCCGGGAGTTGAGAATGCCGGGAGTTGATGATATCGGGAAAAGAGGGCCGGGAATTGATTGCCGGTAAATGAGCACCGGGAAAAGTCCGGCTCCCTGTTAAAACAAAGGAATACTTTTGATATCTATTTACCTATAGTCTTCACCTATCAAAACCTTTTCTGTTATGGGTGAGAGTAAAATCTTGCTTAAAAATGCAAGTACTCGTCAATTAGTAGGAGGAAGGGTACATAAACTTTAGGAGAATAGTTGCATCAAAGTCCCAAAAGCAGTGGCAATAATCTTGAAAAGCAAGTTTTGTTTCTTAATGTTTTTCGAAGTGGAGATTATTTTGTCGTTTAATTTTGCCAAACATTATCTCACGCTTTTTAGCCCGGCTCAGGGCTTATGTAACCGTCGTGTCTGTCTGTCCGTCTGTCTGTCTGTCTGCACGATAGGGCCAAAACGGCTGAACCGATCGACTTCATATTTTCACCATATGCATATTGGACAAAGTTAGGAATCAAGTTCGGAGATGAGCCAAATCGGTCCACTGGTTGGCCGGTGGGGGCCATATGGGTGGTGGGGGTCTTATACACGGAAATTTCAAAATAGTCGTAGAAAGCTGATATCTGGTACATAGGTAGCTAGTGGCTACTAATGAAAGAATATGAATTAAAATTGGGAAAATTTTTATTTGGAGGTACCCTATTGGGTGACCCACACCAAAATTTCAAAATAGTCATAGAAAGCCGAAATTTGGCATAGAGGTAATTTATGGGCCCTAATGAAAGATTATGAAGTAAAATTTCCAAATTTTTCAAGTAGAGACACCCTAAGGGGTGACCCATACCGATTTTTAGAAATTGTCCTATAGAGCTGAAATTTTGTATGTAGGTCACTAATAGCGTGTAATAAAGGGTTCTGAGGTCCAATTGGGAAAATGGTCAACCAAAGGCACCCTATCGGATCGTCCATACCGATTTTTTAAAATTTTCCTAATGAGCTGAAATTTGGTTTCAAGCTTGCTAGTAGCGCCTATGCAACTTTGGTGAAGCTATATTTGAATTTGTTTCAACCGGTGAGACCCAATGGGGTGACCCACACTGATTATCAAAAGTTGTCATATTTAGTTGAAATTTGGTATAGTTGGCAGAAATGGCATCTATATACCAAATATGAAATTTAAATGCGTAAATGTTTGGAACGACCCAAATATACAACCCCCACGGGTTTTACACGACCTCATAATATATCATACGCCTGAGTCGGGCTAAATCAACACTGCACACTGAAGGTTTTTGATTGGCTTTCGAATCGAGATGTGACTCCAGGACTCATCAATAATGAAACAGATTTTTTTTAAGAAACTTATGCGCCAGCCCTGGTATGCATGTAATTGCTATGCTTTGGTTACAACAGTTACAACTACATATAAATATGTATGATTATTAATCTATTTATTTATTGGTAATGTTCAAAACAGTTAAGATATATCGAAGCAAGGGATTTAATTTGTTCCCAAACTTGATTAGAAAGACAGGAAATGGTTTCACATTAGAAACTAATCAGAAGAAAAAAATAGTAATTGGTGGCTTTCCATTTTTAAGTAACAAATTAGTTCACTTGTCATCATGCAAGTACGTTTAACTTACTAACATATATCACTGAATTTCAGAAGAAGCACACCATGATGTATCAGACACCCTTGAATTTCACAAAAAAAAGTAATCTAATCGTGACTAGTTTATAAGGCCAACATGACGTAGGAACAACTAAAGCGCTGACGAATATTAGACACAGGAAGCACGTGTATTCTGGAGTAAGTATTTTAATATATATTTATTTATTTATTATTTACACTATAATTGAGACACGTCGGTAGCTGAAATGAAGGGAATCTGTCCGCAACGGAAGTGTAAGGTAAAAGCATGCAAAAATTCTTTAGCATAAGATAAGTCAGATATTTATACTTGTTTTGTCGCTGAAGTTATCACAAAGGCTCCATACTTTGTGGTTAGCTCTGTCCTTGAGGGAATGAATGGGTGCCGAATACTGGACGGGACGCTATTCAATTACAGTATCATGGATGTACGCGATCAGATATAGACTTGGGGTAGTAAGGGGTGGGTGGTATAGTTGACGGTGGTTTGAGGTCATACGGGTCATGGTCTTGCGAGTTTTGCGATGTCCCTGCAAAGCGTGTACGCCTAGAGGCACATGCATTTATAGCTGAGGTAATACATTTTACAGTATGATTTATTACTCGGTGAAGTTTGATGTATGCCCTGTCATTTTTTATCATTGCGTAATTAATGGGACTTGTACCAGTCCATTACACCCTGGACCATAGCTATCACACCGGCCATGACTTCTTTTCCTGGCTATATAATTTGGTTAGATGGAAGAAGAAATCCAGCACGTCCAGTATCACGAATCTCGTATAAGTAGGAAAATTTGATGTTGGCTGCCCTCTTCGCCCAATCAATTGATACTCCAGCGGCTAATTTGGTTTCGAAACATTATTATTGCTTTCCCATATTACAAATATAAGTTCTATCGTTGTTACCAGCACATAGGAGTTCTGGCGGTGTCCCAACGTTATATTTCGTTCCGTTGACCGCATCCAATGCTGCGGCCCATAGCTTGGCAAGCTTATCTAAATCAGCCCTATCATTTATGTTGACAGCATCGTAACACCACGGGATGAAGAGTAGCTGGCTGTAGCTATGGAAACAAATAAACAGCTTGACTCTGTCCTGTATACTTAAAATGCATTTTTGCGAGGAGGTCATTTCAGGTTCAGAAGCTACTCGTGGGCCACGATATGTCTGGTCGCATGGATTCTCATGGATTCGCATGGATATCTAATTCTCCATTTCCACCCCATTTGAAGTCCTAGTTGCGGTTGGGGTCTGTTAATTAGGCATGGATTTCTTTAATTTGTGCCATCTTAAATACACCTTTATTTACAAATGTACCATGTTAACCTTTATTCAATAAACGCGTTATCATTCGCATAGTTTGCCGTTGTTACTATTTTCTACTAACCGCTTTTGGCATAACCGTTTTCTTCTTTTACGGTTTTCAGTTTCTGACTACAGTTATTCCACAACTAAAGAAGAGCAACAGGTTTAACCGGTTACCGATTAGACAGGTTTGACCGGTTACTGATTAAATAGATTTTACCGGTTACCGATTAAACAGATTTAACCGGTTACCGATCAAACAGGATTAACCGGTTAATCCATTTTAACCTTAACCGTTTCATAGTTATTTGATCACTTTCCGCAGATAGCTTAAGTCAGTACGTCACTGGGTCCAGAAGAAGCTGGACGCATATTAGGTAAGCTCCACATTAACCAGTTAAACCGCTCAAACAGTGTAACTTCTTCCAAGTTGAAACTTTCCGCCTAACCGCTTAACCGTTTATACCGCTTAATAGATTTAATCGAGTTAAATTGATCTGATCCTAACTGTTTAATTGACCATTCTATACAAAATTCCAGTTACAGGACACCTAGAGAACTTCCCCGCATTCATTTTTGACCTTCTGGCGTATGCGTTTCATTAATTAGCAGTATAGCAAGGCTAGAATTTTCACGCAATTTGGCTTATTCCTATCTAAATTGCCATGGTGGGTCTATTCCTCGTAAAAACGGATGTACGCAAAATTACATTGAAAACTTACATTTTAAGTAGGAAATTCTTTATATGTAACTAACAATACTTCTTTGTCTGCAATTGTTTACAGAGTGGCTGGAAATGCAGAAGTTCTTCGACTTCAAGAGAAAACCAAACAATCCTACCTGAGCTCCCAAATGAGGTATGAAGATAGATATTTGAATTAACGCATTTAATATTATGAAGTCCTTGCGTTGTAATTACTATGACAACGCATAAATATTTATTATGTCATTCGATCGTAGTAAACACCAATGAAACTTTCATATACATAGATTTGGGACATGATCGGAAAATACTTGGATCTCCAGGACGTTAAAAATCTTGGCCTTGTCTGCAAGAAGTATAGAGAATCGTCGAAACTCATGCTGAGCAAGAAATCCTGGATTAAACTGAAGTTATCTGCCGGATCATCTTTTAGCACTACGATGGAAAAATTTTGCCGAGAAATATACCCACTACTTATCCCGAAATACAGTAAACTTAAAGTTTCCGTGAACGTGTGCAGATATAAGTATGCCAAAATTGCTAATCCTGCTGTGATCCAGAGTTTTCAAATCGGTTCTAACTATATTGGATTTGGCATATACTTGTTGCAAGCGAACAGCCGTGAAAGTGCTCGTGCCATATTTTATATTGGATTAATAATCGTCGGGATGCTGATGCTTCTTCATCAAGGATTGGTTTTTTATTGGAGGAAATTTGATAGAGAGGTAATTATGTGTTTCAAATATTAGGAGCGAATTATTTTGTCGACCCAGGTTTCAACACGCAAACATAATCCGGTAATAGATAAAGAGAAGTCATATATATGTAGTCACCGACCTGGTAATAGGCAAACTTATTACCAGATCGTAACAAAAACATTACCGAGTGGTAAAAAACTGCCATAACGTTTGAGCTTCTTAATTCCACTCGGAAATAGATTTGTTATCATGCGCTAATAAATTTTCTATTACCAGAGGGGGGACTGTATAAATACATATGACTTCATCTCTTACCGGATTATCTTCAAAATTCGGCAAAATGAGACATTTATCTCTGCACGTTATGTAAATAATGTGATATTGATATTAAGTATTTTTAGTATTTCAGAATAAAGACAAAGGCATACGACGTGGGGCGACCTTCAAAAAGTTTTCGAACCTCATGATTGGACTTATATTTATCATCTTGATTGCCCTGTCATACGATGTAAGGGCAATTTCTCGTTATCGGGATGACGAACCTGCAATAGCTTTGATATTTATGTTGATATTTAGTCTGCCTTCAGCTTTCTTTCGCTCGCAGCTTCTTCGTAGGTCGTGCATAGTATTTGGTTCAGCATGTTCCAGCCGGTGTTCGTAAACCGGAAGAAAATATGTATGTCTTTAAATTGTGTATACATCATTCTTACCAAAATAAATTTATGATTTGCAAAAGAAACCCAAATGTCATTGTCACCTTCATCAAGCGTAACGTGACAATAGGCATTGTTTATTTTGATTTTGATATATTATATCAAGTTATTGGAGTTGCTTCCCATACATACATACTTATATGTATAACATTGTGTACGGCATTTTAGAAAACATGGATTTCTGATAAAATCACAAAAAGGTCATCTAAGCAAAACACAGAAATTTAGAGATTACAAATTTACATTTTCAGTATAGTTGGAGAATTTTTATATTGGTTCACAATTTCATACCGTGTCCCAACACGAACCCTTAAAATTTAACATTGGCATGAAGTACTACATACTATATATTTCGCTGCGAAATATATGCGAAGTATGCGAAATTTTCGCATACTTCCATGTGCATGAAAGTAAATGGGGAAAAATAGAAAAAAGGTGATTTTTTCAGACTGCATCGTCTCAAAGGAAATACATTGCTAAGGATAGTAAATACTATTTTACCCTATACATAATTGAATAAATATGTACGTAAATAAATATGTGTACCAAGCTTATACTGCTTTCAATTTTTTATTAAAATTGTCAAAATCTGGATAAGTACATATTTTGTGTACAATCAGTGAGATAAGTACATCTTAATCCAAAATACGTACGTAAATCTAGGTCAACGCCAATACGTTCTACCCAAATTATCTAGAATGACTAATTGTCTTTCATTATTGGGGTTTATTAGAATTTTGAGGATACATGCATACGGTGTGCCACATTTTATTTTATATTGTAAAATAGTTATTATGTATGTGACGCATGGTGAGTTTTGTAGCAGAATAAATTTTTTGTAAACATGCAGTGAAATTGACATGTCAGAAATCACTTTATTAATGTATTTGACGAAACATTGTGACATTTTAAATTAGCCTTGCACAAGTGGCAATTTAATTTTAAATATTCGAAAGCCATGATGCCAACTCTTCAACTTGTAGTTTTCCATCCTTATTTTTATCCGCTACTTGCATCAATTCACTAAACTTTACTTTCCCCCTTTCACCAAACACTTTTGGGTCAAAAGCTGTCATTGCGGCGATACCAACGTCGTACTCCTCTTTTGAGACTACCCCGTCGCCATTCTTGTCGAAATGTCTCGCCACGATGAGACATAATGTTTTATGATCGTGCAGGCTTTCGACATTTCGCGGTTATTTTAAAATAACTTTCGAGTGTGACGGGTTATCAGTCCAATTTTTTTTCCACAATGAGTCCAAATAGTAAGCTTTCAAAAATCGAAATCCGCATTAAAATCCAAACATTACTGGCTGAACGGCAAGGGGTGATAGAGAATCCACAAAAACTTGGAGTTCACCGGAATACCGTGTGGATATGGAAAAACTGAAATTTTTTTGTGGACAAACCGATTTCAAGTCGACCAGCATAGCTCTCCCCTACAATAAAAATATGACCAAGACCCGATTATACCTAAATACGGACAGTTTCGTCAGAAAGTGTGTCAAGATCTAAAACCAGGCCCTCCGGTTTATTAGGAAAACCAACAAAATTAGACTAACAGCAATCAACTGACATCTTAAATGGACAGTATGTGATAGTACATCATTCGTAAGATGTAAAAAACCGCCATTGACTCAAAACATATTTCAGATCGACTAATAACCGGCACATTTGTAGATGAAAATGGTATTTGTCAGGTGGGAAAAGTGGTGCCAAAAAGTTGGCAAATATTCTGTATACTGACGGGTTGAGGATGAAAATTTACCCCAAATAAGGTCCTCAGAATCATCCAGAAGAAAAAAGGATATTCCATAAACGTTAACACCTAAAAAACGATTGAAGATCATGGTTACAGGTGACTTCTGTGCACGCGGAGTTACCGAATTACATATTGTCCCTGGTGGCGCTACTTTCACTGGACAGTATTATTGTAACGAAATCTTTCTTATTTATTTGGATACCTTAGATTATAGGAAGTCATTCCCAAGCAAGAAAAAAATTACATTTATGCAACATGTTGCTCCTGCTCACATAGGAAAGGCAACAATGTAGCTTTAAGAGGAGCGAGATATAACCACTTGGGGAAAGGGGGTGTGACCCGGCAACAGTCCAAATTTGCACCTACTGGATAACTTGTGACCTGTACTGAAAAGTTCAGTATATGAGGAGCCAAAACCAACCAGTAGACGGATGATATTAAAAAGGTTTCAAAAAAGGTGGAAATCTCCGACCGTTTCACTTTTGGGAAATCTGGCTCAGAATTTCAAAAAACGAATCGGGAACATGATGAGTGTCAATGGAGGACACACGAGATACTAGGTACCAATAAAATCACGACAAAACACTATCCAGAAATCGTGTTCCCAAAAGTCTGACACCAAAACATTTGATTATAGGGAGGTTACCGAATTAAAGGACCACGCTGTACATGAACACTCTAAAAATTATGGTGGCATCGGGTTACCCTTTGTACATCTACCTAGATTGTTTGAGAGATTTCCATCCACATTCCATTATTAAATGAGATAATACAAGGATGTTTAGTGGAGTTCGAAGAAAATAATAACTTAACTTGTATAAAATAACTACCTCTACATAGATATGGATGATTATACCGTATTGTCATAAAATTGTTACCAAATATAACTAATCTACAGAGAGTTATTCACGAAACATGGCAGTCCCTCTCACCTCAATTTTTTGTATGAAGGGCTCACCTGTGAATATTTTTGGTGTTCTCAATGTGTTCCCCGTCCTTTTCTGATATAGAACGTAGTCTCCTCTTCCATTATTCGAAAACTTTAAGGTACATTTAAGGCGTCACTTTCCTCCACTCGTCATCCAAAACTTTGCAAAGTCCGTCAAGAGCGGAAGCTTGTCTCTTAAATAGGGCTTGTTTAACATTCCAAACCCGAAAAAATCCATGGGGGAGGCATCAGGATACTTAACAGGTATCTCTTTGTTAGGAATAATTGTTATTCCGAATTTTTCTTTTAATTCGGCCGCGTACTGGGCCGTGATCCGAGCGGTGTGCGAGGACGCCTCACCATGGTGAACGAACACCTTGTAGGTCTCACCAGGATAACGTTTTGGGTTTTCTTCCCCTAAAAGTGGTTTTAAAACTTCGTCCACATATTATGTCGCACTTATTTTGACATTGCGAGGTACTTTAATTAAAGGGAGTGTTCCACGACCGCTTATAGCCCCCACCATCATACCCTTGACAGCAAACTTTTCACTTTTTTCACACGCATAATTCTCCATGCAACTTCGGCACCTTGAATAGCAAATTCGTCGTTTCCTTTTGCAGTCCTGGGTAAAGAATAAAGCTTAGTCCAATGTGACGGCAAATTCAGATTTTTTACCGGCAAGGTGATTACGGTAGGGCTTGCGAGATGTCGACTTCCGTATTTTTTTGTGGCGTAGGTTTAGCGCATGAACTTTGGTCTTCTTGAAGGTCTTTAACTTAATTTTCGTGAATAATTCGGTTAATTGTAGTCTGTGATACCTCGTGCTTCTTTGCCAATTGGTTTTGAGTCAGAGGGTTTTATTTTTTCACGTCACGGGAAGTTTTTCGGATAAGCGTCAGTTTTCGCAATTTTGTGGGGCAGTAGTTCGGAGGTTGTGGAAATCCCAAATTTATCGCAATGTTTCTTTTTCCTTCGCCATTCTTTATTCTACATATTTTGCTAATAGAAAGGGTAATGTTTTGTTTTTTTAGCTCTTGAATTATCTCCGTAGGGATCTTTCCTACTTTGCAAACTGGGTTGACGGCATGGACCACTTTGGGGTCATTTTGCGGGCCCGTGGTGAAAATTTTCAAGTGGAGTAAAAAAAAATCAAAACTCTAATGAATCAATCTGTGAGAAGCTATTTAAATTTCTCGATTTGGGTCGCGGGAAACTGACCTATCTTAAAAAATACAGACTGCCATGTTTCGTGAATAACGCTGTATTAATTACTTGTGTACTTGCATATATGTATGTCTATGTTGAGGGTTAAAAAATTGCCACTTGATGAACATTTCAGTTACGGCAAATGTAATTTCAGTTAAGTAATAATCCTTTGTCTACATTTAAATCAGGGTTGCAAGTGGTATATATCAGCTGGTGAGATTTAGTGAGATTTAATGATTTATATCAATCATCTCAGTTGGGGCTGAGTGAGAAATATGAGAAATAATGAGCTAAACTTTTAGTTCATGACAGCGTCCGCTAGGTGGCGCTAGTGCATGGCTCACAAATCTCACTATATCTCATATTTCTCATGTCTCACTATTTCTCATTATATCTCAGTGAGATGAGATTTGTGAAGGTGAGATGAGATTTCTGCAACCCTGATTTAAATAGCAACATCCGAAATGATGATGCGTACATTTTTGGCTTATCCTAAATTTAGAACTTACATTTACATAAAAACTTAAATTCTAACAGTAAATGTTCATAACTTGAGACAAGCACTAACATTATGCATTGTCCCTAGTATGTTTTAGATCACTTTAGGTGATGGGGAGGACAAAGAAAATGATAACTCCGAGACCCTTTGTGATCCAATACGAGTGGATGTGCATGATGACCACCAGCACGATGAATTGGAATTGGAAGAACACTCATAAAGCTAACCTTCGGAAACATGTCGACCAAGATTGTGTCATGAGGAAATTGAGCATCCTGTATAGGCCAAATCAGGACGAAAAATATTTTATATATTTTCCTCAACTCTTCTGTATTAATATGTAAATTAAATTTCACGAAAACTGGTTACTGCATGTAATAATAATATTTTATATATTTTCCTTAACTCGTGTTGATTAATATGTATGTAAGGTGAATTTCACGAAAACTGATTACTGGATGTAACAATAATATACTGGTTCTATTCTGTAAAATATACTCCATAAAATGCACTTACGTTTACGATATAACAAAAATATGTATTCATTTGTTAAAAGAAAAAGCCACGCAGTGTATGTATGTGAAATTTTATTGGTTTAAAAATTTATATAATTGGTAACGTCACTACCTCACAACCTCTAATTTGTATATAGTCACCGCCTGGTAATAGCTGTTACCGGATTATTTTGAGTGTATCCGTTTATACATAATCGATAAGATACAAACGAGTTTCATATCTAGATGTAAAAATAGGAACGTTATCATCATATCTTGACAAGGTAATAAGTAACGACACAAGTCATTAGACGAGACTGCTAATTACATATATTTTGTTTGCAAAGTTTCCTGCAAAAGTTAACGGGAAGTTATATATTTGCAAACTCCATCGTTTCAAAGTATATGAGGTGAAAGCCATTGTATATAATGAACTGCTTGGATAGATCAGACGTGCATAGTATGTAATACATACTATGTATGTTAAATATCCCTAAAAAATTTGGACGTAATGAGAATTTGTCAGACACAACTGGTATGCAAGTTGGACCAGACAATTGTAGTTATTGTGGTTCGCTATACGGAGATGGATATGGCATTATGATATGAAGTAGATTAGTCGGTTTTTGAAGAGCAGAAGGAGATTAAGTAAGGACATAAATAAACACTGTAAAGAATGCGGTATATTTTTATGGCAACTGAGACAAAATGTGTACACACATTATATAATAGAAATGAGTTCTGAGTAACATTTTTGCTTCCTCCGCAATCCATTTGAAATATTTGTCTCGATGAACTTGCTTAAGAAGTGTATAATAGTATGAAATCGTAACTATGGTTTTGTATCCAAATATGTATTACAGTTAAATTTCTTCTACGGATATTATGGATGTCATCTTGATTAACTTTATTTGTCCGAGATTTCGATAACGATCTGTTATCTTCTTCAGGAATTGAAAGTGACACGAAATTCTCAAAAATATACGATTTAATGTAAGTATCTATGTATTACAGATGGAACAAAATGTGAAAAATTTATTCCATTCTCCAATTTTCAAATACGATATGACCAGCGATATGTTTTCCTACTATATGTACGTTACAAACACGCAATAATATTTTTGCCAAATAATCGCAAATTAATGGAGTGGGTGGTGGAGAATCGTATTAAAAACGGTACAAGTATTTGACCTCAATCATAAGCCACCAAGGTTTTTTGGTTATGATTATTCCTCCATTGCTCAAATAATACACCTTGCTAATTGCTTATTTCGAGATAAATTGCATATGCACATACATATTTGCTAAATTCGTAATTTACTAACCTTCGATTCAAACTCTGCCAACGCTACATACATATTATGTAAATCATACATTTGTAATCTGCCTCAATATACAAACTTTGAAAACAATCTTAGTAATTACTTCTTGTACTTTTTAACCAAAAATTGTTGAATATATTATTATTAAAAATTAAAAAAAGTTGGCACAATCTCCAGGACAAAAGTAAGTTCTTACTATTAGAATACCAAGTCTATGTATTTAGTTAAAATAATTTTGCACTGCAAATAACTTGGTAGTAATAATTACCGAATTCGTAGCGTATATGACTCTACAAAGACGGTAATAACGCGCACTACATTTGGTAAGGATTTGGTAATAAATTTCTACCATGTATGTAATAATTTTTGCTACTTTGTAGCAAAAATTTACCAATTTGTATGAAATTCTTTACCAAAATTCGTACCGTATATGACTCTGCAAAATTATTAACAGAGTGTTTACCAAAATCCTTTGCGATTAATCCTTTATTTTTCATGCTCTCCAAATTTACAACTCAATAAATCGCATTACGTCAAGTTTGCACTCTGGAGATTCTGTTTATGGCTATGTAACAAATGACATAGGGATTACTGGGATGTATCAATGTCTTAACGTAATTGTTGGATTAGTTGTAAATATATCAAGAGTGTGCCATGACATGTGGTTTAAGAAAATCCAATAGCCTTATTATTAATGATGGATATACTTTGTGGTCGAAAATAAAACACATGCACAGAACGAAACCCTGTTATTGAAATGGATGTATATTCTAATGTACGTACAATGTATAACTAATTGTTCAATTGTTTATACAGCTCGGATGGATGTGTGGTGAATTCGCGTTTGTTCAGTATTTTCGAATAATCTGAAACATTGTGAATAATCCACACGTGCCTGTCATAAATTTCGTAATTACTTACCTCCCAACCTATTCTTGACCTTTAAGCGTACACGGTTTGAGTTGCTGCTCATTTACAAAGATACACTTTGAGTTTTTAAGGTAATAAAGGGTGAAATTAAAGCATATAAATTCTCACACAATTCTCCACATAAAATCAGTCATTTATTGATATTCACCCAAGCCATTGGTAAAATCTGGAAATAGTAAACCAACGGTTCGTTGTCGCTTATATTTTGGAATGAAACACTTTTCAATACTAACTTTTATCGCATTGTCGATAAGCTTTAAAAGTTGTGAAGGTAAAATATTAAATATATTAAAAACGAAATATCCTAAGTATTCCTTGAGACACTTTTTTAATGCAAATAAATCCAGGCATGCAACACATAATCTTTTTTAGCGGAATAGGGGTATTTTAGAAAATACGTTGAACTACGAAACCACTCCCCCATGGGGTGTAGTTCTCGAAAAATTAAAATCCTATGTAAGAATTGAAAAAAAATCTTTATTTTAGGAATCACTTTAGAACATGGCGACAGTGAAGGTAGAAATGGACGGTTGGACTCCAGAATTCCAAAATTCAGAGCATGCCTTCTGAAACGACGGGTTCCAACCGATCGTCTCGTCGACCCCGTCAGCAACTCGAGCGGATACGAAGTTCTAAACACGAAATACGAAATTTGGGAAAGTTTACCCCATCGCGTTCTTCCTCCCCACAACCGCTGCCCATGTCCAAGCTGCCGTCAGATGTGGGGTAGCTGCCAAAATTCGCTTAATTCCAAACAGTGGTGGTCACGCGTACGATTCAATCTCTACCGGAAACAATTCCACGTTGATTGTCGATTTCCATGAGATGCAGAAAGTCGAAGTTATCGGAACAGGAAAATATGCCATTGCCCAACTTCAACCCGGAGCCCTTTTGGGGCCTGCTACGGCACAGTTGTGGAAATTGGCAAAAGTAGGAATTCCTGTAGGTAACTGTTTAACCGTTGGGCTAGGAGGGCACGCGATAGGAGGTGGGATCGGTCTGTTCTCCTTTGTCTATGGCCTCCTGATCGATAACGTCTTAGAGTATGAGATGGTTGATGCCAAAGGAAACATTGTGTACACGAGTGAGACAGAAAATCCTGACCTTTTCTGGGCACTGCGTGGCGTTGGGGGTGGCTACATCGGAATAATTACGAGATTCCGGATTAGGACCTTCCAAGCAGATATGATTAGGCTAAGCCTCGTCAGGATGGTGTACCCTGTCAAGGATTTTGTAAAGGTGGTTTCAGCCACGCAGGATTGGATGGCGTGGACGCGAGATAATGAACCGCTCGTTGGTACAATGGCATTGGCATTCAATGGTAAATATTTTGATTTCAAATTAGTAGTGCTACCAATTGAAAACGTTTTATAATTTATTTGTCAGATAATTGGAACGTCTCCGACTCTGTCACTCCGGGTGGTTCAGAACCAGGCATTATTGTCGCCTCATTCCACATTTATGATCCAGACCGGAATCCCACCAGTAATGCAACCTTTCTCAGAAAGATTAGTGAAATGTTCCCCCCCGGAGGAAAAAAGATTGTGATGTTCCCCCCATACTTGGCCATGCATTATGCCACTGGCTACGCTCCTGTCGTTCTCCCACCCTCCATGCCAGCTCCAGACGCTCCTGGGTCCCTTCAGCAGGCTGGAGAAGGTGGGTTCGTATTCCCCCCGGACGACTATATCGTGAACCTCTTTATGAAGTTCACCAAACAAATGGCAATCGTTCGCTACTTCAAGGCCAGATCGCAATTCGTAAAACGGAAGTTAACTATGGAAGAGTTGGAACGTCTGGGCGAGATAATGCTTCGAATTCCGAACAATAGAGCTGGCCTCTTGATCAATACGGAGCATGGAGCTATTCAAAAGGTGGCTGCAGATAAAACGGCATACGTCCACAGAAAAGTTGGAGCCAATTTTCGGATTCATGTAACCGGAACGACACGAGATGGTATGAGCTTAATTTAAAGTCAAAATAGTTAGTCATAATTTCAAAACGAGTTCATATCAGTAGGACGTTAAAATGGCAAACGTATAATGGCCTAGAATGGCAATTACAAATTGTCACCATTGGGCGTTATGTTTGACCAAATTATCCCAAGCTTATGATATAAGCTGCAACATTAGTTCAATCGCAGCCTGCCAGGTCGCTGTGGGGTCATCCGACAGGGAGAATATCCGATCGAATTTGTATATTAGTTTATTTTAACCATAGTACTGTATCTGAACGTAAAAATAATTATGTAAGGAAGCCAGAGAAGTTTCTACTTTTTGACGCAAGGGATACCCATAACGTGCGATGCCACATCTTTACGACTGTTGTGAGTTGTCTAAACGTGGAAATAATAAATATGTATGTATAGCAACATCAGGACATTGTTTAGAATTTGATTTATTAACATCAGGACATTGTTTAGAATTTGATTTATTAACATCAGAACATACAACTTATCGTCTACACACTGTAGACTTCATCAGGCATAAATAATAGTAATAAATATATTTTCTAATGTTCCAGGTAACATCCCAGAGGCTGTCGAATGGATGGAGGAATTCTGGGCCGCTATGAAATCCTTTGATGGTGGGGAGACGTACCAGAACTTTCCCGACCTGGACGTTAAGGACTATTTGAAGAGATACTATGGGTCCAATTTGGACAAACTGGTATCCACCAAGAAGCGTTGGGACCCTACCAACTACTTCGTGAATCAACAATCACTCCCTCTCAAAATTATTAAGAAGTAGGCTAAGATGTACATGTAGACAAACGGTGGCGAGAGGGAGAGACGCAGATAGGTGATGAATGCAAGGTAGTCAGTGTACAGGTAGGGAGAAAGCAGTAAACAGCACAATAAAGTTTTTTCTTCTAAATCTCTCTTGTCCTCCTTAACCATTTATTCCCATAATCATCACCGCCGTATGGTGACAACTAATCTAGATCATCGCGACAGTGTTATGACAGAGACCTATTTCAACTCAAACTTGACTTTGCTCGTGCAGTGCGGTGCATACCTTTAGGAAATCCCGATATTTCGTCACCTTTTAAGCAAAACTTAGTCTATGTGCGCAGTATTCTAAGACACGGACACTAAATTATGAGAATGCCCCTTCTAAGCTGCGCTACGCGGTAACTGCAAATTTTTATGTGCGGAAAAAATTTATTTTTCAGTAGACCACATTGTAAGCTTTAATTTGATATATCTCACCAATTTTTCAATTATGGTTAAGTCTAGAAGAACTAGGATTGCAGGGGAACAGTTGGCAAAAAGAGTGATTCAGTTTCACAAAAATCAAGCCAACTATGATTCTAAAATTAGTTGGCAATTTTTCAAGCAAGAATGTATTCCTCATGCGAATGTTTACTTTTACATAAAAAAGTACGGGGAATCCAATGAAGTCAAATTTAAAACACCCAGTGGTCGACCTGCGAAGCTAGCGACGCCAAAAGTGAAAAATAGGATCAAAAAATTTTTCAAAAATCAGCCATCAACATCCACGGTCATGGCGGAAAAGAAGGTCAAGATTTCCAAAAGCTACCTGACTAAAATCGAAGTCCATGAACTAGGCATTAAGGCGAGGACAAAAAGGTCAGCCCCAAATTACAAATCAACACAAAAGGAACGGGTTCAGGAATATTGCAAGAAATTTCCAAAGAAAAGCCGTTATTATGGACGACGAGACCTACGTCACTGCTGACCCTTCGAATCTTCTGGGAAGGCACTTCTACCATTGCTCCTACTCCGATGAAGTGAAATACGAAGACAACATCCGGAAAAAAGATAAATGCCCAAAAAAATATTGCATTTGGCAATGCATCTCTAGCGCCGGCCATATTTCAAACCTCGTCATTTTGGAAGGCACTGTAAACCAGAAAGTTTATCTGAAGAAATGCATTCAACGTGGATTGGAAGGCTTCATAGATAAGTTTCACAAAAACGATAAAATTTTGTTTTGGCCTGACCTCCCAACATCACACTACGCCAGAAAGGTCACCGAGTACCTTCGTCTTAAAAATATTGAATTTGTCCCAAAAGGGGAATACCCTCCAAATGTACCTCAACTGCGGCCAATTGAAAAATTCTGGGCACTTTCCAAGTCCAAGGGTTCCAAGCTTTCTGAGAAGCCGGATACTACCAGGAAATTTCAAAATCGGTGGAAGAAAATTAGCCTGGCAGTGGGGAAAGTCTCGGGGAAAAAGTTGGCGCAGAATCTTAAGAAGAATATAAAGACTGTCGCAGAAGGCGGTATTGAATGTCTAAAAATTTAATTATTTTGAAGACAGTACACTTTGACAGTAAACATATGTAATTTTTTTGGAAATATATAAATTAATAGTGAAGTTATGACCATTTTTCTCCGCCATTCTCATAATTTAGTGTCCATGTCTTATGTACATAGCATGTATGATTGTGGTCTAGTTGGTATCTCATATTACCATATTTGAAAATTTTCTACACAAAAAATACAAATATTGGAGGTGTATGCGTTTGAGAAATTTGCGGATTTTGTTTTGTAGAGTCCGACATTCATGTTCGACAATGATTTAATAGACTTTAATACTTAGACTGATGGGTAATATACCTTTAAATTATTAAAAAAATTCACTTTGAGGGTCTCTAAGGGGTGATCCATCCCGATTTCTTAAAATCGTCTAATTGAGCTGAAATATGGTATGACAAATTCAATCTAGCTGCAAACTAGTAATACTATGTCAAACTACTGAAGTCTTCAGTCGTTGTATAAAAATCTCTTGGTCGGGCTCCGCAAACCTGTACTGATAGGTTTTATGTTGATTTTGATACTATGGGATGGGACAATTGTGGGAAGGATTCGATTTTTTGGATCGATTTCTGTATTTTCAGGTGAAGGAGAATGTGTTGTAAACTATACAACTTGATATGATTAACAATGCTCACCAATGTAAATATGTAAATATGTGAAAGAATGAAATTCTATGGGAAGTATTTAAGAGCTGAATTTTTACAGCTAAAAAACCATTTTCTATACACTTTAATTATTTTTTTAAGTTTTTATTATTCATGGTTTTTAATGAGCCATTGACAAATATATATCGATTATACATATTTTACATATTTGAAAACCAAGCCGCCAACTCTTCAACCTGTAACTTTCCATCCTTATTTGTATCCGCTTTTTTATCAAGTCATCAAACCCCAGTTTTCCCTTGTCACCAAACAGGTTTGGGTCAAATGCTTTCATTGCGGCGACTCCGGCCTCATATTCTTCCATTGAGATAACTCCGTCGCCATTCTTGTCAAAATGTTTCGCCACGGTGAGGCAGTAGGCTTTAATATCATGCAGGCTTTCGAACACTTTCATGATATCGGGGATAAAAATTAACTCATCTCCACGCGGGACACGGTAATAGTTTTTGTACGCTTCGGCCTGCTCAGGTGTGGTCGGAATACCGGCAGCGTTGCAGAATATGATGTATTCAGAGTTGTGAATAGTGTTGTCTTTATAGGACGGGAGATTTTGCAGGATCAATTTAAGCTTTTCAAGCTCTTCTGGGGTGAATGGTTTTTCCAGGATGTGCGATTCGCTCATGTTGCCCTGCGTATTACCTGAAAATAAATATGAGGAATCTTCTTTTTCTAATTTATTTAAAATTTTACCTTTGAATAAAACGTGTGTGCACGTGTTGGTTGAGTTTTCCCAAAGAAAGGTTGGGTTGAAATGAACTGACTGACGAAAGTGCAAAATATCTAGTGATCATAGTTTTCGATATTTTACATGTCGTCGTACTAATTCTAAAAAGTCACAAGTGCAGTCGATATTTAGTTTTAGAAAGACATAAGTGTACATTAAAAAGCAAGTAAAAACACGTGCATGCAATTCCGATAATGTAATGAGTTAACTAGTTAAAACAGGTAATCTCTGGATAATTTATCTAATTAGCTCACATTATATTGTCGGAATAGTATGAATGTACAATGTCCTTTTACTTATTTTTATTGTGTACTTATGCCTTTAAAAATTAAACATCGACTGCATTTGTGTCATTTTGGAATTAATACGACGAAGCTGGGACTCGTCAAAATTACACTTGGCAGTGATGCGGAATGTTTTGAAGGAATTTGTTTTACATAAATGTAAACGGTTAACATAATTTGCCTGAATACTTTACTAATTAAAACCTGCTGCCGATCCTGAATAATTAAACAAGAAATAAACAGCGTTTTTATGCAAAAAAAAGTGAAGTCAATGTCAATATTATCGAAGCGTTACCTATATAATTTCCTAGGCTAGATACTCTATGAATCCATACATGTTAAAGAAAGAACTTCGAAATTCTTCCATTAAATAGGAATACATAGAAACTTGGCACAGACCTGTATGCCAAGAAAAAGCAGTAAAATTTAGATAAATGTCTACTCATACTTCTGTAACAAAAATAAGGAACACGTAACTACGTTTCCCCGTTGGGTCAGATTGTGTCAATGGCCTTGGTTGATTTTTGATCAGCATCCGAGCGATTGACAAGCCGACAAATAAATAAATGCAAAGTATTTAACTAAGCACTCTTTGGAGTGTAGCCAATGAGGAACATATGAGTCCATGTCTGAATAAATCTACAAAATATGTGTCCGTTTGTAAAAAATTGATGAGAACAAATGCGACGTCATAATTGGTGAAACCTATAAAGATTTAATAGATATGTATATCTGTTTTAGAAAGTTTTTGTTTTAGAATTTTTTTCCTGTACATACAGGGTGTTAATAAAGTCCGATCCCATTTTTCCTGTAAAAAAGTGAAGGCTAGTATAAAAAAAAACTACCCGTGATACTTACAAAAAATGTTCGACATATTTACCTTAGTATTTGGTCTTGTTACCATTTACTTTAACCATGCCCTCAACTCTTTGTTTAAGGCTCTGTGCTAATTTTTCCAATGTGCCTCTGGAAATCGAATTCCATACATCTTGAACTTTTTTTTACTAGCTCTTCCCTCGTCCGGGGTTGTGGCTCTTTGTATACATTTTCCTTAAGTATGGACCACTGGTTCTTCAGGGGATTCAAATCTGGGCCGTTAGCGGCCCACACCCCCTTGCTCCAGACCGTTGAAACTTGCGTCTTGATGAGACTCAAACTCGCTTTTGCTGTATGGGCTATAGCACCATCCTGCATGAAAACTATTTTTCTTTCATTCGGAAATATTTCCTTGTTCCCCATGCTATCGAAATAGATAGGTAATATTTTTTCCATATAATGCTTTGCATTGACTGATTGGCCTTTTGGTATGATATGTAGAGGGGTCACGCAACGTGCACAAAATCCACCCGCTACCATAACTTTAAGCCCGAATTTTGGGATCGCTCTTGATGGTACATCCGATTTGTTTTCTGTCCTGTAACGAACATTTTGTTGGTTCAATTTTGGATATAGTTCAATAATAGATTCGTCAGTCCAAAGGATGTGACTGCGCAATTCTTCACCAAGTCTTTTTTCACTCAAATGGGCACTTTTCTGAAGGAGTTCTTCAAATTTCAGACGGTCATCGATATATTTTTGTGACATGAGAGGTTTTTTTGGTTAGTTTGTAAGCTGTGTGACCCCACTTCGTAGTTTTCACAAATTTTTGCACGGTCACACAGTTAATTTGCTTCTTCTTCTCTTTATAGCGTTTTGAGTCATTTAACTCCCTTGCTCAATTACGTAATGAACTACCGGTTTTCTTGCAAAGTCTGTTTTTAATCATTCTTTTTGTGGTAGGTGACACCTTTC